GTCAGGTTGTAACTAACAGCTTGACATCTAAAAGGAGATGTCAAATAAGCAGTTGGGTATCTGAGTCTATAGTTCAGAGAGGGTAGAGAATTGGAAGTCTTTAGCTCTACAAGGCAGTTCCACCTTGCTCAAGAGCAGCGGTTCTCAACCTTCCTCATGCCACAACCCTTTGATACAGTTCTTCATGTGGTGACCCTCCAACCATAAAATTTTTTTTCAAGGTCTGTTTGTTGACCTTTAGGAGTGTTTTCCAGTCGATTCTGATGGGAATTGACTTTAGGGCCAAGCCCTGACCTCAGAGTCTATTTTTGGTACCCCCTCAGGACTTCCTTGCTCTGCTCCCCTTGTTCTGTTGAACGCCATTAGTGTTTTGCCTCAGTGTAGTGGGGTCAGACCGGCCTCAATTCCCAGTGTCTCCAGTGTTATCCCCTGGAGGGCTATGGGTCAGTGAGGGATACTGTGTCTCATAGTGGGGCCGGCCCTATAGTCCTCTCTGTGAATTGGCTGCTCTGAGCAGGGATATCGTCCCCAAGGCTGGTGGACCAGAATGTGCTCCACTCTCTTCCTCCCCCTTCATTTGCTCCTGTGTGCTGATCAAACATGTCCCTCTCCGAGCTGTAGCTTCAGTGCTACCCTCTGAAGTACATTCTTCTGGGGGGAGGGATGGCTGTCCATGTAGTTGGAATTGGGCTGGCCCCTCAGACGTTCTACTGGTTCCCTGCATAAAATTATTTTTGTTGCTACTTCATAACTGTAATTTTGCGACTGTTATGAATCAGGTGACCCCTATGAAGGGTCCTTCGATCCCCAAAGGGGTCGCAACCCACAGGTTGAGAACGGCTGCTCTATAGGGTCACCATGAGTCAGACTTGACTCAATGGCAGTGGTGTGTGTTTTGAAGGAGTGAATGTCTACCAGTTTGTCGCACGGTGATTAACAACCTGTGATATGCTGATGACACAACCAACCTTGCTTGAAAGCTAAGAGGCCTTCAACCATTCCCTGCTCACGAAGATCAAAGACTACATACAGCCTTACAACTAAATGTAAAGAAAACAACAATCTTCACAACTGGACTGATAGACCAGGTTGACTAGAGAAACAAATCCAGAGACACTCATATATATGTATGAGAGAATTTTATATCAAGTAATGATGCATCAATAAAATATCCCAGCCCAATCCAGATCAAGTCCAGAAGTTCTGTATTAGCTCATACGTCCGATATTAGTCCATGAAATCTTCAGACTCATGCAGCACCTGCAATGATGCCGAATGCAGGAAGATCACAGGCTAGTGGGTGGACAGTCTTGTGGGTCCAGTGGCAGTGGACGCATCTCCAGGGCTCTGGCTGCTGTCAGCGTGGCTCCATGTGGCTTGTCAACAGGAATGTGAAGCAGAGTGTCCTGCCTCCAGGGAGGAAGAGATGAAGCTCCCAGAAATCTCACAAGAAGGCCACATACATAGAAGGGCATCAATCGGGTGGTAACCTGATTGACAGGCCAACTTCACCCCTAACACCTATTTATCAAGTTGACATTAAATTATATAACCACCCCGTGAACCAAGAGGTAACAACATGATAAACAGAGAAAAAATTGAAGTTGTCAAGGAGTTCATTCTGCTTGCATTGACATCACACTCATGGTAGTAATAGTCAAGAAATCAAACAACATATTACATCGGACAAATCTGCTGCAAAAGACCTTATGAAAATGTTCAGGAGCCATATACGAGGGGGTACCCTCCAAAAACTGATGCTCATTTGTTTTTTTGATGCGAGGAGGATAGTGCATTTGGAGTTCATTTCACCAGGTCAGATTGTTAATCAAGCTTTCTGTTTAGAGGTTCTGAAAAGATTGCATAACAACGTGGGACAACAAAGGCCTGATTTGTGGCATAAGGGAGACTGGTTTTGGTGCCATGACAATGCACGTTGATCACACAACCATCTCAGTGTGCCAGGTTTTGGCTAAAAACAGCATGCCTCTTTTGTCCCACACACCTTACTCACGCTGACCTTGCTCAATAGGACTTCTTTTTGTTTCTGAGAATGGGATTGCAGATTTGACAATTCAGTGTAATGGAGAGTACTTTGAAGGTGATAAGGTTTTTATTTTTTTTTAAATTAAATACATAGCTTTGGGGGGGGGCTGTTTTTTGGGGGGGTACCCCGTCGTATGTCACTTCATGGACTAAGGTATGGCTGCCCCAAGCCATGGTAAATTTAATTGCCTCAAAAACATGTAAAAGCAGGGCAATGAATGAGAAACACTGAATTAATACTTTTGAATTACAGCATTGACAAAGAACAGTGACAATATGATAAAGTGCTTATGGAGCCTTGGTGGGGTAGTGGGGGTGTGCTGGGCTGCTGACTGCAAGGTCAGTAGTTTGAGTCCAGCAGGCTCTCCTGACGAAGCTTTCTGCTCCCACGATGATTTAAAACTTCAGGAATGTAATAGGCCAGTTTTATTCTATCCCTGTAAATCAGAACCAAACTGATGGCAGTGGGTTTGGTTTTGCATTTGATAGGGACTTTTAGAGGAATGAAAACAATCTTTGTTGGAAGCAGTACAGACATGATGCTCCTTAGAAGCAAAAATGGCAAGACTTTGTCTCACGTTATCAGGAGAGGCCAGTTCCTGGAGGACATCACACTTGGTAAAGGGTGAGTGAAAGAGAGGGAGACTCTCAGTGAGATGGTCACATGGCTCCAACGGTGGGCTCTAACCATAGCAATGGTGGTGAGGCTGGTGCAAGACGACCAGGCAGTGTTCTGTTCTACTGAGTCAGAACCGACTCCAGGGCACCCAACCAAAGGGAGTGAATGTGCACCCGGAAAGGATGACGACTGATCCTTAGAACATCAACATTTAGAGGTTAGGGAGAAAGGAGGAAAATAGAGCAGCTTGCTGGCTAAGAATGAAGGCAAAGTATCTCAGAAGCAAAGTGAAGAAAATGTTGCAAAAAGGGTGGAGGATTGCGTCAAGTAAGATGAGGGATATATTTATTAACATGAAAAACAGCCTTAGCAAGACATGTTTTGATTAGGTAGTGGAGACGTACACTGGCAACTTGAGAATGAGATCAGGTAGCTTATTTGTAAAGATTCCTTTGGGGACAACTGGTGGACCTTGGAACACTGACTGGGTATTTGATATTAAATAGTGTTTCAATCACAATGATCATGCCGTTATGGTTAAGAAAACTCTTGAAAGAAGAGACTCCATTGAGGTTTTTACCTGTTTTATATGATCATTGCTGCTGGGTTTGCTCCTGTTTGTGTGTTTCTACAGGGAAATCGGGATGGGGGGCCTTGCCCAAAAGATGAGGGCGGAGGGAAATGGGGAGTCAACATCAATGGGGGCAAGAAGGAAGGAAAAGTTCCAAAGTTGACTGTGGTGATGACTGCACAATCCTTCTTGATAGGATTGAATTATTAAATTGTATGTTAATTGTACAGATCTTTTTTTTAGATCACTTTTTAAAGACTCCAATTCTGCCCCCAGAATGGCTGAAATTGTCTCATGCTTTCATTAGAGCATATGAGGATTTCCAGGGTTTTTTTATCCTGTAATTTTCATTCTCCTTTTAATTATAAATTTTACACCAGTGGGGCCCACCAATTTCTACCCAGTGTGTAGAAACTTCCGTGAACAGCACTGATCTGCTGCTGTTGCTCGCCACTAGAGGGACCCTCTGAGCACAAGGTTGTCTCGAGCACGAGCACAGTACAGCAGTGGCAGCACAAACAACACCGACATCCAACTCAGCCATTCGAGGTCATTTCCACTCACAGCAAGCCTGTAGGCCAGAGTAAACTGCAGCCCTGTGGGTCTGAGACTTCACGAGAGCAGACAGCCTCATCTTTCCCAGGGAGTGCTGGTGGTTGGTTTGAACTGAGGACTTGGCTTTTGCACCCCCAGCAGAACCGGCCATACCAGCAGGCTCCTTTGGGGGTCAGGTCAGAGTAGCTGAGAGACCACTGACATTTACATTCCTACTAGAGAGAAATGCTTTCTCCTTAGTCACACCTCAATTAGTCTAATTTGTATTTTCCGTCACCCCACCCCCATGCCCTGAAAGAACTTTGCTTATCAGTGTCTCTATTTTTTTGATCATGTCCTCTAATGCACAGCCGTTCCATGGTTTCCCACTGCTTACAGTTCCAAACAAACATGCGGCGGGCTAGGGCAGGCTTTCCAGTGCTGCCTCCACTGACATCTCAATAGCCCCACCGGGGGCTCCCTCCACAACAGGCTTCCCTCGTGGCTTCTTTCTGGTTCTCTACACAGACCTGTTTCTCTCCAACTACCAGCCCACAGCAATGGAAGTCTCTCTTTGGAGAACTTAAACCCATAACTGTGTCACATTCATATGCTTTTGTATTTCCCAGATGCTGTTTCTCTCTCGAAGGGCGAATATTTCTCGACCTCCAACCGCTTAGTACAATTCTCGTGAACTGCTGCACAAACATGTGTAGAGACGGGGAGGAGCGGCAGGAGAGAGCACGCTTTAATGTGCTTCTCCCCCAGGCTGCCCCTCCACCTATTCATATAGTCCTCGGAATACGCCCATCTTCAGTCCCGTTTCTTATCCCAGTACAGAAAGGGGAAACGGAGTTAGGGGCAGTGTCAGGGAAGGAAAGGGAACCCTAGGAGCAGGGGGCTTCCAGCTGGCTTTTCCCACTGTCCTTTCCTCCTACCCCAAGTCAGTGTTATCTGGTCTCCTGCATCACTGACCTTCACTGCACTGAAACCTGGGCAGGAGCCTACAGTCATTTGTCCACATTCTCTCAGATTTTCCTTGTCAAGTTCACATTGTTAGGATGGTGGGGTGCATCCTGGGAGGTAGCCAAGCTAGACTAAAGCGGAGTTCAGGGGTCTTGGAAAGGATGCAACTTTCATTGAGCAACATGAACAGCCTGGAGGTGGGGACAGACAGTAAGGGCAGGAACAAAACAAAACAAAAACACAAAGTAGGAAGACACCAGAGCGTCTAAATAACTGATAAAAGTTTAATACATTAAAACCAGATATTTATCACTTATATTGCATTTGCCATTTCTGAACAATACAAAGAGGCAAATAGTGACATTTCATAAAAATTTTGATACTTCATTCCCTTCCCTAAGACCCAGTCCTCCCTCACATATTCCCTCCCACTCCTACAGAACTCTGTCCTGAATGAAACACTTAAATACATCATAAATAGTACATTATGAAAAAAAAATAGCAAGAACTGTTTCTTTCCTTCTTGTAAAAAAGAACACGGCAGCAAAGACAGGCAGCCAGAAACTGGCTGGAGGTGTCTAATATAGACAGTTACTCAGGGTACAGACTAACCTATGTCAAGGCAGGGTGGGGAGACAGAGGATAATATGGGAGCTCAGTAATCTGCCTGAGGTGCCATGGCCCCCCGCTCTTCCTGACCAAAGTGGGCGGGTCCACCTGATGAAGGACCACCACCTTTGGAGAGGATTTACTTAACCCATTTTAACCTTTTCTGCACAAAGAGAGGGGACAGGGCATGTGGCAGAGCACTGACCTCACCCAAGGCAAGAGTCTGCTGGCTCCCCACGAGTTTAAGAAAATAGTCTCGCACTTCATAAAATCTGGACTGCCTGCTCCACTGACACAGGTGTCCCTCCCCCTCAGCTTCACAAACAGCAGAACACTGTGGGAACAAAAGGGGAAGAACAAAGAGGAGATCTCCTTTGGAGAGGCTGTACAATTCCTTTGATAAGTCTTTATATTTAGAAAAACAAGCAGAATACATTTCAAATCGCAAAACAGTAATAATCATGATGGCTTGGCAGTTACTAAGGTCCTGCCTAGAAAGGGAGCTATTTCTTAGCCCCATTGTTTTAACAAAAGGGGTAAAAATTACCCCAGGTCCCACTCTCTCCATTCCTTCAGCCCTAACAAATCCATCCAGAGAGGCAAGAAAGGAGAAAGGCTCCTGGCAGAGCAAATACCACACTTCCGCTTCCTGAACACCGGGCTCTTCGAAGGGGGTCCTGTGAACACACATACTCAGCTCTCTGATACTTTTGATCTGAAATAGTCTTCAGTTGAAATGTGTGCTGTGCACTTTTTTTTTCCTTTAAGAAAAAATTTTTTAAGTAAAATAAATAAAGGTTTGGAGGTGGTTAAAGACCTTCATGCCACCAAAAACCTTTCTGAAGATTGCAGGGATTCTTCGGGAAAGAGCTAAGATAGGATAATGTGCCAGCCAGTCTGTCCTGAGGGGTTAGGAGTCCACCTCCTGGTGAACAGTGGATGAGGGGGAAGAAAACCAAGTCTGGCACCCCACTTCCCGTACACACAAGAGGGTTGGAACAATCAGTCGTGGAAGCCAACACGAGCCAGTTGGAAATGCATGTCACCCGCTCTGGCGAAGAGGAGAGCTGCTGTCCTCAACTGTCCAAGGCACTGGTGCCCATTCACGAGGAGGAGGAGGGGGAGAGGAGATTCTTCTTCAGGCAGGAGAGCGCGAGGGAGCAAGCTCCTCTGGACTCCATGACACTCCTCTTTCTTTCGATGATCAAGAAGAAACTCAGCACTGCTGGGGCCATAGAGGTGGTGAAGTCTTATTCCAGGTTTGCTGAGGCTTTACGCTCACTGAAGAGAGAAGAGGCCATGTTAAGGACAGGGGAGGGCAATGAGTGAGAGAGGAAGGAGTGGGCAATTTCAAGATAATTTATTTCTACATGGCTAGCAGTTTTCTTCTATTTCAGCCTGTTTCCAAACACAAAGGTATAAAATGTACAGAATAAAAATAATTTAGGTGGCACCCAGTCCCTCTACCCTGGCCAACAAATCCTGCGCTCCATTCCACCAGTGGTCCTCCTCAACCCTTTGAAGCATTCACCTTCCCCACAGCCCTATCACATACTCACATGGGAGAACTCTGACTCTGTAATTTCAAGCTTTTCCAGGAGGGATGAACTAAAAGGTAGGGGTGGGGGCAAGAAGAGATGAAAAATTAGAATAGGAAAAAAGGGTTCTCCTCTTATGTCAATTCTTAAGCTATTACTCCATTTTTCATCTCAGAATCAATCTCATCAACTCAGAAAGGGTGGTTAAGGAACTACGCATGAATTCATTAGCTTCTCGAGCATGAGGAATGACTTCCTAGTAGCCTTCCTGTCTTCAATCCGCAGCACGGTTGGAAGCCTCTAAGGTGACCACTAGTAACCCTTGCCTCCTGACAGTCACATGAAATCAGGCCAAAACCCAGAGCGACCCTACAGAGCAGAGGACAACTAACTGCCCCACAAGACTCTGACCTCTATGAAAGCAGATTGCCACAACGTTCTCCTGCAGAACAGCTGGAAGGTCCAAGATGCCAACCTGCCACTTGTAGCCAAGTGCTTAAGCACTGTGCCACCAGGGCTCCTTCCGGGCACTCGTGCCTTCATGCCACTCCCCTCTACCAGGTGGGCCATTTGTGGCTCTTTCCTAATGAACAGAAGGCAGCACCAGGGATGGGATGTCGGTTCCAAGAACAGGTAACAAACAGTGTCATTTTCACTTGGGCTCATGCTCTCACTTCTCTCTCGTTTGCCCACCAAGAAGGGAAGCTAGCTCACATACTAACATCAATCAAGGTTGTGCAGAGGGTCACTTGACAATGAACTAAGAGTACCAAGGGCCTACAAGGAACTGAATTCTGTCCCCAGGTGAGCCTTCAAATGAGATGGATGTCTAAATGAACAGTTTGACTGTAATCTCCTGAGACCCCGAGCCAAAGGCACCCAGCTAAGCCACACCTAGATTCTTGATGCTCAAAAACTGTAAGATAATGTTTGTTGTACTCAGTTGTTAACCCTTAGGGTAATTTGTTATGCAACAATAGATAATACAGAATTTAGTAACTGAATGTACGGTGCTGCAATAATAAGAATATATTATGTCAGCATTTGTGGAACTACATAGGAAATAAAACCTCCTGAGAACTCCCTCTATCCTAAACAGTGCGTTAGAGAGATGAGTATAGAAAAATTAAAGGCATAAATCTGACTTGAGCAGTTAAAACTTTGTCAGCAGACCTCCCCTATGATGTGCGCTGGATCTGATCTGGTTTCCAAAATGTTCTGTATTGTTTGGTTTGGTCTTTGTTTGCTCACAGTACAGTGTATCTCAGAGGTGTTGTGTGTTTGATGTTCCTCCGTTGTTCGGTATATGAAACTCGGACTTGACAAACCTATAGACACAGCAACTAGAGTAAGGATTTCGGGTGGGGGTGGGTGGGGGGGAGTTAGTGGTGGTGGAGGGGTTAAGGGGAGACGATGTCAAGGTGTCCATGTAGGAAAAAAAATGGTGGAAACAGTGTGGTAGCAATTGTACAATTCTACTGGAGGTGATTGAATTCTGTAATGATACATTTTTTTAAAAAAAGGAATATATTATGTAAGGATGGCTTTGGACAAGGGAAGTGGGCTTAGAGAGCAATTTATGTGAAAGCTGAACACACAACAGAATTCTGGATTTCAGGGGGCTTATTAGTGAGGCATTGAAGGAGTAAGAAAAAAACGGTCATGAAATTGGAGGGAAAGAGATCCCCATCATGCAGTAGCAAAGAGTTTTACAACAATGCTATTTGAAGAGATAAGGAAAGTAAATATGTGCCTAATGAACTGAGTAATTTAGCTAAGGAGACTTCCAAGCAGAGTGTTCAAAGTGCCGCGTGGTTTCCTCTGGAGATTTACAGTGAAACGTGAGAGGAAGGAGGTAGATTGAAGCAAGGGCTGGACCAACAACCTCGGAGCCAGGACTTGATGGTCTGGAAAATTCTCAGCATCTCCAGATGGCAAATTATTCTAAAATTAAAAAGTGGGTTTTTAATAAAGATCCAATTCAGGGCAGTCCTAGAAAAATGTGGTCTGAAAATGAAGCTGAGAGATTGACTATAAATATTTTATTAAGATCTCAGAAAACTCAAAGATGGTGCCTCTGAATACTATTCAGTCATCAAAAAGGCCATTCAGAGATTACGCTCTCAAATCCTCTCAACTGCTCAACAGGGTCTTTCAGAAGTTTAGAGCTTACCAGGAAGAGATTTGTGAGTACAGGTTTGTCTAATAGAATAAATCCAATGAAATGTACAGGAACCCACAACAGTGTGGAGAGAACTCTAACAGAAGAAACACTGCCAACCTGTACTACAATAGAAGAGGAAAACCAAACCAAGCCAGAGCCGCAGCCCTCTGACTCATGGTCATCCCCAGATGTGACAAAACAGAACTATTCCACAGATGCTCTTGACTACCATGTTTACAGAAGCAGTTTGCCAGCTGGGTAGGTTCAAAATGCCAACCTATAGATGAGCAGCTGACCACCAGCCACTCGTGTGACATTCAGGCTCCCCAAAATAGGAACAGTAGGAAGTGAAGGGAGTCTGGAGGGCCCACCAAATCCTGGCAGGAAGGCAGATGGGAAACACAGCCTGGCACAAAGGGTGAGCCAGAGGGCAAAACCCAGAGCCCAGAGTGTCCGTTCAGAAACCAGGAGAACGATGTTCAGCAGGTGAGATTTACCAGTGAATGTCTAACATTTTCTGGATTTCAGAATTGCTAAGGATCAATGACTCCTTTGTGCCTCTCTTTGCCCCTCCTACACGTGAATGTGTATAGCAGTTATCTTAGGCCTGTCTTAGCCCTCTACTGCAGGTTGGTTGCATGTAAGGCAGACAACGTGTCCTTTAGTTTCACAGGTCCACACATGAAGGAGTACTGTATTAGAGGAGCTGGACTAAGGAGCTTCAGCCAGGAGCCTCATCTACACTTGGATCTGATGCTGTATCAGACTTCTGGAAGGCTTGCAAAGGCATGTTTTGTACATGGGAGGGATGTGAATCACTGGGAAATAGAGGGTAGGCTGTGACAGCTTCCCCAATGCTCCTGCTATACGCAACACTATGCAATCTCTTCCTCTGAAACGTGGGCTAGATTTAGTGAAGAGAATGCAGTACAGGAGATGGGATGTTAATTCTGAAACCGAATTACAAAAAGACCGTGGTTTCTGCTTAGGTGTTTCTAGTTCACTCGCTAAGGGAACTTGGATAAGGTTCTGAGATGTACTACGGCGAGGGCCATTTGGCAAACTAAGCAATAGGCTCCCAGTCCAACTGCCTACAAGGAAATGTGTCCTGGCAGTAAGTACATAAGCGAGCTGAACAGCAAACCCTCTTTCAGGTCAGGTCAGTTCAGTTCAGTTCAGACTCAATAGCCCTGACCTGACTGACATGTCCTAAGAGAACTTGAGGGCAAAGCTTAAATTGTGCCAGAATCTTGACCCCCCAGATACTATGAAGTTAGTTATTTTGAATCATAACATTTGTGGGCAATTTATTTGATGCAATGGGTAACTCACACCATAAACCCACTGCCATCAAGTCAATTCTCTTATCAACCCTATAGGACCGAGTAGAACTGCCCCAAAGGGTATCTCAGGTTGCAAATCTTTACGGATAACTGCTCCTTTTTAAACCCAGAGTGGGATGGTGTATTTGAACCTCTGACTTTTCAGTTAGTGTTTAAGCACTGCGGCAGCAATATTCCTTGTTCACACAGGGAACAAAATTAAGCCACAATCTATCTGCTGGAACCTTTTGTAATGTTGATTATTCATTGTTTTTACTGTCCAGGAAATCTCTCCAGACTTAAAAATCCTAAGCTAAGAACAAGAACCTTCATTGAACTCAACAGAATGAAGATTAGCTGGGCTGTTTTGACTGAGTCAACCGCCCCCCAAAAAAGCTCTCATATGAAGGCTTCCCACTAATTCTAAAATAATAGAGATGTTGTCATACTTTTCTAAATGTTGAAAAATGAGTTAAGAAGGTGAACCTGCAATGAATGTACAAATGTGCTTTACACAATTGATGTGTGTATGGATTGTGGTAAAAGTTGTACGAGCCCCTAATAAAATTATAAAAAAGAAAAAAGAGTTGTATGTGCCCCTAATAAAATGATTTTTTTTTAAAAAGGTGAACCTGTACAAATCTGATGAGAGGAGAAAGACAAATAATGGTCCCTAGGAAAAAACTCTATCTCCAGGGGAAAGAACAACGGAAACCATGGGGGAAGGGAGACAGTGATCAGTGTGAGACATGGAAATAATAATAATTTATAACCTATCAAGGGGTCACGAGGGTGGGGGGAGAAGGGGAGAAAAAAGAGGAGCTGATACCAAGGGCTTAATAGAAAGTAACTGTCTAGAAAAGAATGATGGCAACATATGTACAAATATTCCTGATACAACTGATGTATGGATTGTAATAAGCATTGTAAGAGCTCTCAATAAAATGATTAAAAAAACCAAAAACACTCTATCTTTCTTGATGGTATGCACCTGAACAAAAGGAACAGGGTACCAACCTTGCAGCTAGCATGTGCAAATCCTGTCCAGCTACAGGTGTGCAGCTGGGGTCCGAAATAAACGACTCCTCATTGGTTTCTTCCATAGGTGGAGTCTGAGGTAAAACATCCGGGCGACCGAGGGGGACCCCTAAAAAAGAGAAGAAAATCAATAAATATTACAGAGAAGAAAATGGGGTAGGGAGGAATCAAGGCAAACATGCAACAACTTGATTTTTCCTGGACAGGAAAGGGGAGCAGAATCTTTGTTAGTTAAACAGAAGGAAGGAAGGGGGTACCCATTACACGGGGACCCCACTCCTGGCGCTGACCTGGCTCCACTTCCGCCTTTGTGGTCACTTGGGCCTTGTGTTCCCCAGAGACTGCTGGCTGGCAGTAGGAGTTGCCGCTGGAGCCTGCTCGCCGAGAGAAAGATGCTCCAGACCGAAACTTTTTGGAAGGAGAAGGCTTCACTTCAAAAGGGAAAGAGAGAGCCTACTTAACACCCACCGCAGAAACCATCACCAAGACACAGACACACACCACCAGTGTCCCAACAAGCACCCAGACTTGCCACAAAGATGGGCTTTAGGAGCTACTCTCTAGGAATAGAGTGTCTCAGTTCATTCACTTTGGTAAGGAGCAGAAAGCCCAGAGGAATGAAGCCACAAACACATCTCCCCACTCATACCACTTGTAACCTTGACGGATGTGTCAACCTGATAAAATGTCCTCTGTCCCATAATTCCCTTTAACAGGATCTGCGAGTGAAACCTGACAAAGATAACTCTTTTATTTTCACTTGTCCTCAGTACCGGTACTTACACACCACTTAGAAAAGGCTTCGGAAGGCGTTTTTCCACATTTCTTAGGTTTGTCTGGCATGTCTAGGTTCTTGCCTTCCCGAGGGAAAGCTGATGCCCATGATGAGATGAGGAGTTGGAATGTGCCAGTGGAAGGCAGCATGGGAGCTTTGAATAGAACAATACTAACACTTCCCAGCCCCTAAGCAGAAATCAGAAAATGCTTCTCCAATAGCTTGAGTCTAATCTGAGAAGTCCTCAGCCCTACTAGGATTATAGACAAACAGTAAGACACTGGCCATATCCCTGCTCATCTCTGCCCACAAATGTCTGATCCTGCAGTCCCTCTAGCTCCCCGAGAAGCGCCCCTCACCTCAATGGCACATGTAGGGAGAGCCAGGGGGAAAGCAGCAACTTGGAAACGACGGGGACCGACAGAGCAACAGACACAAGGATGGGCAGCAGCTCTCACAGGATGTAGGTGGAGCAGGAGAAGAGGCCTTTGGCCTTGACAGCTCTCTGACAAAGGTGTCCTGCCCCCCATTTCTTGGGGGAAGGGAGCCCTTGGGGGGTCATCTGGTAGAAGCCACTTACAGGGGATCTTCTTGAACACTGTGTTGCACATGAAGCGCTGGAACCGTTCAGCATAGAAGCCTGGGCGATGCACTGACACGGTGTCCTGCAGAACAGAGGGACAGCTGTGGGGTTAGAGACGGAAAGCTCTCCAAGAGAGCAGTAGTCTAAGAGCCATTTCCCACTACATTGAGACCACTTCACGGATGAAAGGGTTAAGGACTAAACAGAAGGAACTGAGGGAAAGCTAGAGGAAGGGAGGCAGAACGGAAGAGGAGTCTCCAGCTGATTGCTGCTTACCCCATCGTGTACCAGAGCTTTCCAAGAGTGCTCCAACTTCTTAATAAACCTGCCAAGAAAAACTTCTATGAAGCATTCACAATGTTTTTGAATGAATTGCCCTCGTATTTTTCTATTTTAGAAGACTAGAGGGATAGTAGTAGTGGGAGAACTTAAAAAGAAAGTACTCTATGATAAGTTGACTTTCCAAAGAAAAGGCATGTTAGAGTTTGTTCAGCATGGAGAACAATGCTGTTTCTAGGTTTAAGTCAATTAACACCCCTGGATAGAGGTTAGTCAAAATGCCACTGGCAAGTGAGAGACAAGAATACCAATTGTAAAGCAAGAGCTTGACAGGTGGACAGGCAAACCTAGAAAGGGGAGTTAAAGTTGGAGCATACTCTCGGTCAGTGAATCACCTATTGCCCGGTGCTCATTGGAACCTGAAATCTTATATATACAGCAGAGCTGGCTCCAGCTCCTCCCTCATCATCATTCACTGCCGCTTAGTTGCACAGGCTAATAGTTTTTACAGAACACAGTGCTCTTCTTGTTTTTCCTCTGTAGAAGGGGAATGTGTTTCTAGCTATGTCCCAATGTGGAGTATGACTCATCTCACAGGTTTGTCACAGAAGAGTCAGACAGATGGCGTATTCTACCCTGGTGTTTCCGGGGACTGACTCAGCTTTCCACAGAAGGGATATGTCATGTTTGGGGAGATGGCAGAGTGAAGAAGCCCAAGGGAGAAGAACATCAAGGAAAAAAACTATCACTTGAAACTCCATGATGTAGACAACCACTCGGGATTCTTGCTTCAGGAAGAACTTGTTGACAAACCAGTTTACAGGAGACCCGTGAAGGGTTAGCCTTCCTCCCTGCCCCCAATCTGAGACCCACATGCTCCTCACCTGTACGACTGTAGAATGTCAATGATGCCAATATAAAGCAGTAACCTTTCCCCTTTATTATTCCGGGCAGGGATGCCACCCATACTGGGAAAGACAAGAAGGAAATGGTAAGAAAACAATCTTGACTAGCAGGTAAAGGCTTCTTCTAAGCTTGAGTCAAAACACATGGGAGAGACACAGAATACAGCTCTTACCATTTCCCATAAGCAGGGGAAGAACAGGATTCTCCCCATTACCCAAAGGACCGCTCTGGAGAATGTACAGTAACTTCTCTCCAATCTCACATACCTGCTGCTCCACCTCAGCTTTACCAAAAAAGAATGCAAAATCACCCTAGCACCGTAATTTTGAGAAGCTCTCCCAACTAAGTATATTCACATCTTTTTTTTTTAATCATTATATTAGGGGCTCATACAACTCATCACAATCCATACACACATTAATTGTGTAAAGCGCATTTGTACATTCATTGCCCTCATCATTCTCAAAACATTCCTCTCCACTTAAACCCCCGGCATTAGGTCCTCATTTTTCCCC